CAACTCATTTTCTGCAGGGGTGTGGGCCACGATTCTTACTTTGTATGTGTATGATACACAAAAAAAAAAAAAAAAAACAAGAAAGTAGGGCGTTAGCATTTCAGCCTGTCTTTTGCAAATCAAATCTTCCATGGTGACAAAAAGGAGTGAATGTCATGCAAGTGCCGTGCGTGGGATCACCCATGTYCTTCTCACTAGTTAATAAGTTAGTTCAGGCCAAATATGGCCATTGCAACAAATGCATGCTTCAAATACCTGCACCAAAAGGAACGAAGGGAACCAGGCCTCCCATTTATAATGTGAATTAGTTTCACAGGAACATCACAAACCTTTGGCCTGGGGCTTTGTGAAAAAGCATTTTTTTAAAAAAATCAGTTGAAAAAGCAAAACAAAATAAAGCCACCCATTTTTAATCCCTCAGAGAGTCTAGGGAAAGGATCTGGCTGGATCCTGTTGCGATTCCATTTCCTACACTCCAGGAGGCCAGCAGGAGGGGTCTCAAAGCAGGTGTAAATCCTCTTCAGGCTAACAGGCACAGAGAGGCCAGGGGCCCGGGGCCTGAAGGAACAGGCCTGAAGGGCTCTCTGGGGGACTTTCCCAAACTCATTTGAGGGCCTCTTTCTTCTGGGGGTGGGAGGGGTGGGCAGGGGGATAGGCACCAGCACACATTCCTCCCCAGAGAGCTCAGGGCCTGAAGGAAACACCCCACCACAAAGACAGGCAGGGCCAGACCTTCTGGAAAGACCAGATGTGGAGGGTTGGGAAGAGGGAAAGGGAAAGGCCCTGAGACCCAGGAAGGAAAGCAGAGTCTCCCTCGCTCCTCTTGGTCAGAATGTAAACACTTCAACTGCCCTTTGTCCTCGTCCTTCCAGAAGGGACAGAAAAGACAGCCTGCAGCTGCTCAGGGGGACACCACTCTGCAGAGGGGACAATGGGTGGGGGCATTCATCTTGAAAGAATCAGGAGTGCGGGTGACATAGGGCCCCTGGGGGATGGGGATTGTGCAAGAGGTCAGCCGAAGCCACCCTCAGGCTGCTTGGAAGAGCACCCCACACTTGGGGAAGGGGTGAAACCCTTTTCCTTTACTCTTAAGACTTTGGTTTTCCGTTTAACTTCTTTTTTCCTTCTTTTTCCTTCCTGCCTTCATTCTGGATCTATTTGTTGCTGTTTCTTTCTTTGGGAAGCTGCAGGTAACAATCTGTACCTGGGAAGGAAATCTGCTGGAGTAAAGGGTCACCTAGGGCCATCCACCAAAGACAAGGAAATTTGTACCAAAGGGATGCCCCCATGTCCACTGACATCTGTGACTTAATCTGAAGTCACACTTAATTTTTCAAGCAGAAGGGAGATGGGAGAAGGGAAGGAGGGAGAAGGAAGGGGAGGGAGAAGGAAGGGGAGGGAAGGTTTTTTTCAAAGCATTCAAAGAAGGGATGGAGAAAGGAGGCTATCAGCAAGTATCTCATACTAATTTGTTTCTGGACTACTTAATTAGGAGGCAGGCCATAAACAACTTCAGATTGCTCCTGAATTTATAGATTAATTAGCAAAATCTTTTAAAGAAGTGCCATTAGTAGCAAGATCTCCCTAAAAGAGAATCTTGCTACTGGAAACAAAACTGAAAGCAAAGATAATAAAGCTGAAATTTGAGTGCAAGCTAGCTGCTGGGTGTTAGAGATCAGTTTCCAGAAAATATCTCCAAAAAGAAAAGGATAATTGGCTCTGAGCCTTAGACACAAGACAAGAAGAACTAAAAACTCAGATCCGCAGAATCAAAGAGACTTTAGGAGTCCAGCAGCCCAAGTCCTGGATGAACATGTATATTTTAATGTTTGTGATCAAGGAAAAGAAAATGGAGGCTCAAGGAAGTTGAGAGAATTGACCAAGGTCCCCCAGCCGTTGAGTTCCAGGGCCAAGTGCAGATCTCTGGTTCCCAGCACTGGGAAGCCCTTCTCATGAAGCCACCTGGTCCTCAGGCCCCCCAGCTCTCCAGGATGACAAGATGTGTGGGCTTTACAGCTATGAAGGAGTAACAGAGATGAGAGCAGGATGGAGCTTCAAAAGTCACACGCCAGTCCCTCTACCTGTGGATGAAGACTGACCCAAAGAGGCTGCAGGACCTGCCAAAAGTACTTAGGAATCAGAGACACAGCTCAGGCCAGGAAYTTCTCTCCCCATTGAGGCCCTGTGCCCTTTCCCCTTCTCAAAGCTCCCTCAGGTGTCCAGTGGAACTTCAGTGAAACCACACCCAGAGGGGCTCTAGTGTGCCACTCACTGATCCTTAGTGAGTGTTCAACTAAAAGTGAAGCTCAGGCCTCCCAGCACCGATACTTAGGTGGAAAGGTTGAATGGTGACCCTTTTTCCCCAAAAGATATGTCTACACCAAATCTCTGGGACCTGAGAGTGCTAATTTACTTAGGAAAAGGGTCTTTATAAATKAGATTAAGCTAAAGATCTTGAGAAGTAGTAGACATGCTGGGTGGTCAGGGTGACCCCTCCGTCCAGTGACAAGTGTCCTTCTAGAAGAAGGCAGAGGAGATGACACAGCAGAGGTGACTCAGAGAAGCAGCCATGTGAGGATGGAGGTAAGAGTGGAGGATCCAGCCACAAGCCAAGGGATGCCACGAACCACCAGAAGCTGGAGGAAGYAAGGAAGGGTCCTTTCTAGCCCTTCGGAGACTGTGTGACCCTAGGGCACCTTGATTTTGGATGTCTAGACTCCAGGACTCAGAATAAATTCCTGCTGTTTTAAGCCATCCTCATTTCAGCAAACACCAGAAACTGAAAAACTGATCATCTCTGTGGATTAAATAAATGAAAAAGACACAAACAAGGTCCGCAGTATTTGCAACTGATTCACAATCACAGTGGTTCACCAACAACCGGATCAGAGAACAAGGCATGGAGGGAAGTGGAGTGTGTGGACACTAATCCTGCGTCCCCCCACCCCGCCCCACCCCGCCTCTGATCTCTCAGTGACCAAACCCAGCTGACTCACAAGAAGTCACGTGGTGGTGTGCTAACTCTGCAGGACCTTGTTCTAGATCACACGCCCATCCGAGCAGCGCCTGCTGGGTGGACCCTGAGTCTCAGCCTGAACGTGCAAACTGYTCCCAAACGGCCAGACTCTGAAGGCATTTAGGAAAGTCTCCAAGCCTTAAACCCCACAAAGCAGCTTCCAGTGCAGGAACCCGAAGCCAATTGGGGAAGAGGCCTCTGCCGCCCCAGTAAACACTGTACCACTTGGGCCTTGAGGGAGAGGACAGAGTAAGCAGAGATTTCTTCAAAATGTCATGTTCTTGGATCTCACTTTATTTTAGATGCTCCTTCCCACAGCTGTTGAATTAAATCGGAAAGCAAACAACACACACAGATACACACACCCAGCCCTTTTGCCCCAACTCTTTCTGGGGAACACAGATCCACGTGTGGATTAGAGATGGCTGACTTGCTCTGTGCTCTCTACAAACATGGCRGTCTCAAATTCAAGCACCGTGCTGCTGGGGGTCTTCTTGCCTCTTCCTAAGGCYGAACATCTGGGAAATTGTTTTATTATTGTTCTTTGAAAATGAAATTTCCCAGTTGCTCCCAACTCAACAGGTTTATTCAGTCTTACACAGGAGACTAAACTYGGGAACCCCAAGGGAGATTCGGTGAGGCCCCACTTAAGCACCTCCTTAGATGAGCTCTCAGGGGCTCTACAGACAGATGAGAGACAGACTCAGGGGAGGACCAGTCACTCCACTTGGAGTACTGACCGTGATAGGACCACTTGGACTTCAGTAAGGTGGGTGACAGCACCTTCTCCAATAGCCTTGCAGGGCTTGTTCCTCCTCGTCAACCAAAACCCTAGTCTCAAAATGTCCTTGGGCCAAGCATTAAGTTTCACTGGAGAGACCGTGGGTCCCCCTCCCAGCTCCCCAGGTGTGGGTATGGGTCCAGTCCCACAGGCGCTCCTGCCCTGACTTCCACAGAAGTCTCACTTGCCCCCTCCTCTGCACTCTTCTCAGCCTTTTTTTWWAAYTTGAGGTGACATTCCCTTGGCCTARAATCAAACACATTAAAGTGAACAATCAGGAGACAGCAGCCCAGAAACACCTCAGGGGCTCCCTGGATATGCGTCCTGTGTCTCTGAAATACACCCTACTGGGAAGTWTGGACATGGTTAGATGGATTCAGGGCCCTGGTGCTGAAGGAGGAGGTGGCAGGCTGCAGGACCAGTCTGTCCTCCTGCCAGCTGCTGGGCTTCCTAACCCAGCCCCACTCAGCACACATTCTGCACCCTGGAATATGGGTGACACGGGAGGTGATCTCGACTTTTCCATGGGACCTGGTTGACGCCCCACAGGCCTGGGAGAAGTGGGGCAGTGACTGCCTCTGAACTCTGGCCCAGAAGCCCGTGTGTTGGCCCAGGAGGAGCCTGGCTCAGCCCACGGGCAGACACTGGGGAGCAGCTGCCGAGAACACAGGAACTCAGCTGGCCGGCTCAAAGCAGTCACACCTGAACTTGACAGACTTCAGCTTAGCCCCAGCCACAGGTTGCTCTGGGTCACACAGGATGTGGGTTTCTAAGGGTGGGGAAGTCAACACCTTCAACTCTCACCCACCCTTTCTTAGCCCTGATTCTGAACCTCTGCTTCCTGGGTCTGTGTCCTTATACACACACACACACACACACACACACACACACACACACATACATATGTACCCACGTGACTCTAACACCCTCTCATTTCCTCTTCTAACTTCCAAAAATAAAAAGAGTCTTTTTCATTTCAACAGTCTTTATCATTCTTTTTCCCCCCTTCACATTCTCCATCATTCCAATTTCCCAATGAGCATTTGGTAGAAATCGCCCCCAAGGACAGCACAGCCCATGGATTCTCTCACAGTCACCTGCAACTACTTTTCTTCCGTCAGAGGTGAAGGCAAAGAGAAAAGGAGGCTTTCTCTAGTGATTCTGAGGACGCTGAGGAAATGGCGGTGACTTTCTGTCACTTACCTCCAGGACTTTCCCTGTGATAAACTGTTGACAAGCTTCACATTTCACACCAAAGAGCCCCTGGTAGTCCTTTTCACAGTATGGGGCGCCATCCCTGCAAGACAAAAGTGTGTTCAGCTCCTAAGAAGAGGTGACCAGAGCCACAGATGGAGGAGGACACTGAAGTCACCTTTCCCTGAGACCTCTCCACAGAACGGGGGTAGAACTTACCAGAACTTGTTTATGCCTCACCCAGCTTCCACCTGCCTAGAGACCTGGCCAGACATGACCACTGTCACAGACTGGAAAGCTGCCCATCTCCAGGCCACACAGGAGGAGGCCTACCCCCGCTGCTGGTTCCCGGATGGTTTCAGAACTAACCGGCAGAAGACCCAGGATCCTGCCCTTTCACTGGCAGCCCAGACCAGCTTCAGAGGTGAGCTCAGTGCTGTCTRCCTCTGTGGGGACCCAGGTGCACCTTCTCTCCCCACACCCTTTCCTTGGGCTCACAGGCCTGACAGAGCCCCCAGCAACCTCCAGATTCCATTTCCTCTGCTCTCAGGAGGCCCGAGAACCCAGGACCCTTTCCAGGGACCTCAGAGCATAATAAACAACATGTCATTTTCAGCTTGATCTAACATGAGAGAGTGAAAAAGCACCCTCTAGAGAGCCGAGCTGCCCAGCCTGCCCAGCCTGCAATGCCAGTTTAGAAGCTCGACTCTTCTCTGGTCTTCCTTGGCTGACCACCACCATCCACCCTGGAATTCTTTATTCTAATGAGGGTGTTTCTGCTTGAACTCAGGTCCACTATGAAACTAGATTTCCAAGGTAAAAGACCGCAGCTGCTTTTTTGTTTCACTATATTTTTTTCATTAATTTTTCTGAATGGGTGATTTCATGTGGGTGGGGAAATTTTTAAAGGGCATATAAAGATATAGAATGGCAAGTTCTGCCATTGCAGGGTGCATTAAAAGCTGCCACCACCCACACTCCACTTACTTCCTCATCCCTAGCTATCATCCACAAGACCTCTGACTCAATATGAACAGGCTTCCTGGGCTGATCTGACACTGGTCTACGGAGCCCAGTGCCTAGGCTGCATGTGCTTTGCGGGAGTCTACACATAAGCTCAAAGGAGGAGGAGAAAGTCTTACTAGTTCCACATAGGACAAAAAAAAAAAAAAAAGGGAAATTATTAGATGCTTAATTGGTTATGACATAGGGTGTACTATTACGTCAGCTTTGGAATGATTAGACAATTGATAGTCATTTAGTTTATAGCAGCCAGATTATGGCAAAATAACAAAATTATTTCCTAAAGTTTTATAGCAAAAAGTTCATCACAATTATGGGATGTGAATGTGCTTCATTTGGTCTAAGGAGGAGAGGCCCCGGGCAGGTTCTGCACAGCACCCACAATGGCCCATCCCCACTCCAAGGACCCGCACACCCCYGGCCCAGTCTTACTTGCTGATGTACTCCCCAGTGAGGACCTTCCCGCAGGACTTGCATTTGAAGCACCCCAAGTGCCACTGCTTGTCCAGCGCCAACAGCGCCTGCCCATTCTTGATGTCTCTTCCRCAGCCAGCGCAGTCTAGAAGAGAGCACAGCCAGTGGTCAGCACGCAGTTCCTTTGCCAAAGCCAAGCATGCAGGCTTCTGGACCCCAGCGTACACCCCTCAACCCTGTWGCTAGGCAGGTAAACACCATATTATTCCATTTTCCTTCCCTGCACATAATCCTCCCCAGGACACCTCACAGGACCCACCCTCATACAGCAAGGCAGCTGCTGGAACCTCTGTGGGTCCAAGTGGATGGGATCCTTCATCTGTTTTATTTCCTGGGGGGTTAAGTACCCTCTGAGCTCCAGCTGGACCAGAGAATATTTAATGATAGTGTCTTGGCTGTGATTTGAAGAGAGCCCTCACAGGCCTTTATTGATGGAGAACACAAGGGAGTAGCTGAGCACAGCAGGTTGGTTGCCTCTCTCAACATGGCGTGTGGATTCCTGGAACTCGGCCCACAGCTCTCACTTTTGTAAATGGGAGACGACTTCCTTAACAACCCAAACCAGCCTCTCAATGACTCGTGATCATCGATTAAATGACTCTTAATTCCTTAGCTTTAACTCATCCTTGGCAGGTTCCCGAAAAGCAGAGAGGAGAACGCAGAGTGTGGGCGCTGGAGTTGGAGAGCCAGGTCCTGCACTCAGCTCTGCTGCTTGTCTACGTGACCAGGCAAGTCACTTGCCTTTTGAAGCCTTGTTTCCTGATAGGAAAGTGGAGATGCTATTGGCACCCACCTCAAGCCTCTGATGAGGATTCAATGGTTGCCACATTCAAAATGGCCCTATAAACATTTGCTATTATTATAGCTGCCATTATTATTTTGATTATGAAATACTTCATTGGGTTAGGGAAGTGTTTAAAAAAAAACAGAAGAATGTAAATGGGTACACACAGTCTAATCCATGTACCCAAGAAAACAACTGCCAGCAATTGTCCATGATGTCCCCACTTACATACAGGACCCATAGAGGGACCCAGCAAGGCCACTAGTGGCCACATTTGGAACGAGACCGAGACCAGGCCCCTCAGTGCACAAAGTGATTAAACAACCCCCTCTTCTGACCACAGCTGTGACTGCTGCTCCTTTACCAAAGATGCTTCCAGCCCACTTTGACTCTCTCYTGGAGAAATTCAGGATACCCCAGCACCCACCTGCTCCTGATTCTTGATAACACCCATCCCAGCCCTGCTCCCACTCCCTGGAATCTCCCTGTAGTACCCAGCACAAGTCCAAATCCTGGAATTTTCTCTTCAAACTCCAACCATGGTGCATAATTCATCTCTCTCAGCTGCAGTGAGTTAAGTAAACCTGTGTTTTGGTATTTTTTTTTTTTTAATCTCAGGTGTGTGTCTGGTGAGCTTGTAGCATAGTGTTAACATTGTTTGAGACCCAGAAACTTCAGGTCTAAGATTTTATTCTAAATATATTTTTGCAAGAGTGTGTGTATTTCTGTGTATGTGTTCCCTATAGCATTTTGAAACAAAAATTGAATTATAGTCTATATTGACATCAATGAGGGACCCTCTAAATTAATCACAGCACAACCAACAATGGAATATTAAGTGCTGCTAGAATGAATGAGGTAGGTTTAGCCAGGTGTGGTGTTCCAYGCCTATAATCCTAGCGGCTTGGCAGGCTGAGGCGGGAGGATCAAGAGTTCAAAGCCAGTCTCAGCAAAAAGTGAGGCACTAAACAACTCAGTGAGACCCTGTCTCTAAAATAAAAATACAAAATAGGGCTGGGGATGTGGCTCAGTGGTTGAGCGCCCCTGAGTTCAATCCCTGGTACCAAAAAAAAAAAAAAAAAAAAAAAGAATGAGGTAGGTTTATGTGTAGTATGTAGATGTGGGACTTCCAAAATAGACCAAGTGAGGAAAGCAATCTGCACAATAGTGCTCATGGCATAAGCTCATGCATAGAAAAATAGTAAAGAGTCTGCATGCTTACCCAGAATAGAACATGCATGGGGAAAAAGCAAGACCTTCTTAAGAAACTTCCCTCTGTGGAGAGGGACCTGACTTTACTTCACATCTTCTGTGATACACAAATTGTTTTTTAACCATGAGAATATTAAAAACAACAACAACAAAAGCATGAGGTTAAAAATGTCAATTCTGAGTATTATGGATAGAATTTCTTAGAGCACAGCCTTTTACAAACTGAGCGTATAGTACACAAAAAACTAAGTATTTTTTTAAAGTACAGTTTATGTGTATCCCCATATCTCATCAAAAATATAAAGGAATCTCACATCTGGCAGTTTATTATCAAGAAAAAATGGAAGGCCATAATATTTATTTAAAAATACAATTTTCACTGGGCACGGTGGTGTGCACCAGTAATCCAAGCAGCTCAGGAGGCTGAGGCAGGAGGATCAAGAGTTCAAAGTTAGCCTCAGCAAAAGCAAGGCACTAAGCAACTCAGTGAGACCCTGTCTCTGAATAAAAATACAAAATTGAGGGGCTGGGGTTATGACTCAGCAGTAGAGAGCTTGCCTTGCACGTGCAAGGCCCTGGGTTCAATCCTCAGCACCACATAAAAATAAATAAATAAAATAAAAAAGGACTGGGAATGTGGATCAGTGGTTGAATGCCCCTGAGTTCAATCCCTGGTACCAAAAAAAAAAATTTTTTTTTTGAAGAGTAGGAGCACAGTATAGACTTAGAATGAATTGATGATTAATAAAGAAATAGACTTTTCAGAGCAGTTTTAGGTTCACAGAAAAACTGAGCAGCAGAAGGTATAGAGATTTCCTATATTCCACTTGCCACCATAAACTTGCCCCCCCTTACCAGAATGGAACACTGTTATCACTGCAGAGCATATACTGACACATGATTATCAGCCAGAGCCCACAGTTGACCTTAGCATTCTGGACGTTCTGTTTAGACAAGTTTGTGATTCATATACAGTATTATAGCATCATATGGAAGAATTTCACCTATACATACTGTGCGCCGCCTACTCGTCCCTTCCTCCCACCTTCCCCGGCAACCACTGAACTTTTTACTATCTCCATAATTTTGCCTCTTCCTAGATGAAACAGTTTTAGTTCAATTGAATTGAATTTTTTTACGCATCTCATTAGATAATTCCCACTAGGTGGCAGCGAAGATTTAAATACTAAGAAAAAAGCCATGTAACAGAATTTTTTAAGGAAGAAATAAACTTGAGAGATATTTTTCCAGCTCTACAAATGAAGGCTGTTGGATTCAGCAAGGCTGGCAGAGCGGTTTGAGGTCTCCACCTACATGAGCAGAGAAGTCTAGGGAGATGGCTGCTGGATTAGGGCTTGGGCTTTGGTGTGGGAAGACTTGGGTCATTTACTCCCTCTGACCTGTCATTTCTTCATCTGCAAAATGCTGACAATAGCAGCTACTTGCTGGGAAGAAGCAGCGAGATCATCACTGTAAAGTGCTTCGCAAGCACAAGGCTTGGTACTACACATATACTCAACAGGTCTTCCCCTGCTTCCTGACTCTAGTCAAGCACCTTGGCACCCAGACATTCTGGAGCTATGCAAGAAGAACAATTGGAGAACAAGGACCACCAAGATATTCTTCCCTGAGGGCTGCTATGGATCAGGAAGGGCTCTGTGAACATGGTACCAATCCTAGTCAAAACGCCTTGCAGACGGGAAGCCCTTGACCTTACAGGTGGTATCTATACCACTCAGACCCTCTGAGCCCTGCCCATTATCAAAGGCAGGCATTTGGAGGATGCTTAATAGAGAAATATTCACACAGTGCTGAATGCTTAAAACCAGACAGCCAAGCTGGGCTGGAAGAGGAGGCTGGGGCAAAGCTTCCTCCATCCCAAACTTTATGACACAAGCAAATCAACAAAGACTGCCTCCTAGATAAGAAAAAACCACCCATGTCAGCTGGTCCCGGTTTTCCAGTGTATTCCACCAAGGCTGCTCATTCCCTCTGGACAAAGCCACAGTTTCCCTTGGAGCAGCCTGCAGTCCTGCTGGGCAAAGTGTAAAAGATGGAGAGATAAAGAGCAMACTGGATGGTTCACTTCTTCCATGCTCGCTCCAATTGAGCTCCTTTATAAAGAACAAAAAGTCCTACTCTCTATCTGCATGTTTTTCAGCTGTTGAGAAAATTGTTTCCACATCACTGAAGCAGCTGCTGATAAATATAGAAAGCTGGTGATTGGCACTGGAATTACTGTCAAAGTCAGAAATAGGTGAATATGGAGCAGCATCAGGGAAACAAAATCCACTGGTGACAGCCAGTGTTCTGGGAAAAAAGGGAAAACAAAACAAAACAAAACAAAAAAAACCAGCCTTAAACTCTTTGCCTCAAGCCCTACTCTTGGCACCAAAGCCAGAGCAAAGTAGGGATTTGGCTACTTACGTTCAAGTTCAACTCACATCCAAGTACACACCTGGTTCCATATTTTTATCATTTTGTTCAAAGGCCATACATATCATTATTAATAAGGATCCTGCCTGTCTGCCTTAATCTTTTCTAATACTTTTTGGCAGAGGCCCATGGACACCTGGGTTTCAAAAGTATTTGAGCTGAAGAAAGGGACATATGGCTCTTGGAAGGAGGGTGTTGTTCCCAAGCTAAGAGGAGAGGTTTTCTCTCAAGTGCRCTTAAGGTCCTGTCAACCTGGACACCTATGTTCTCCTTGAGAATGACTTTCTGCCTTCCTAGAATTCCCCATTCAGGATGGTAAGGGACAAAAAGATGTCTTTTTTTCTGCAAAGATGCCTTTTGGAAAGGAAGACTGGGGACATGGAGCCACAAGAAGAACAAACATGTGATGGYTCAGTTTCCACCCATCTCAGCCTTCCCAGGTCTGCATGCTTCGGACATGCTCAGTCATTCACAAAAGTGGTAAYAGCCATTCAGAGCATCTGTCCATCAAGGATCAAAGCCTTCAGAATATGGAATGGGACTGTTTCCAGTGTTGCAGAATTTTTGGCAAAGGCATCAGAGATAGTGATGAGTATTCCAACTTCCAAAGATGGGTACTAGGGGCTGAGTGGCTTGGTGATAGAGGACTTGCC